GCATCAAATCCAGTGAGCCCTCCTCAAGATCCTCCTCATTGTCACCCAATCTGCAAGGTGTACCCATATGCACATGCATTGAACACAACAATCCTGATGGAAAGTGCTTTACCTACCACCCCTACTCTTAGTTTTTGAAACATGGTGTGGTGTTGCACCTTGATTCCCAATGCTGCGATTGGAGCTTTGTACCATCAAACTGGATAATGCTACCATTTCATTGGACCTTTATAGATGAGGCAACACAAAACATATCTAGATATAGAACAGGATCAGAAAAGCTTGGCTTTTTATGATAGAGTCTAACTATGTATGTAGTTCTTGTGAGCTTGCAACTGTACAGACCAGGCTGGCCTCAGACACATCTCCGTAGCTCCCTGCTTCCTAGGTGCTGAAATCAAAGGCATCCACCACCAAGCTCAGTCATCTTAATGTAAAAGGCTAAGTTTAAATTCCAGTACATACCACCTCCATCTAGAGTCTTCACGGTACCATGCAGTCTTTGCAGGACTTCTGTGTTTATATGAAAACTGAACAGTGCTGCCTCAACCACCACTGAAGTGGAGAACTTAAAACCCTGGGACAGAGCTCAGCCAGTCAATGCCCCAAGTACAAATAAGCAAGTCTAACCAGAAACCTACATCCTTTTCAGTTTGCAAATATATTAGCACATGCACCATTACCATAACCAGTGAAAGCATCTTTGTGTTTCTGGTTTAATGGGAAGGCTTAATTCCTTGTTCAGAAATAATACATAAACCACGAGTAGGGGGGATGGGGGACAAGATGTGCATGCATGTACTTTTAAGAATTCCCAATAAGGGGGAAAATTCAACATCTTTAAAAATGTGTTTATTTTTTTTTTTAAAAAATTCAGTTGTATACAAAAGTGTTTCGTAGTTTTTAATTCTCAAGACAAACACCCAACCCTCCACCCTGCAGCCCACCCTGCTTCAATGGTATTTCTGGTAACCAGCCCATTTTCCCCTTACAGGAAGTTAATGGCTCAGAATAGACCCTCCTACAGAATTTACCATTACTAACAAACTGTTTATAGATATCTAAAGAAGCTAACAAGCAAGGTTCTTTCCCAGTGAGGTTAATGAAAATCCCTATAATGGCAGTAACTTCCAGCACACACCACAACAAAGCACCATCAATTGCTGAAAGCTAAAAAATAGATATTTTCAATAATATTTCATTTTCTATTGGAAAAGTCTTTAAATTACATTAAATAAGTCTCTTTTTCTCCCAAAGAAATTGTCTAGCTTTTATTATGATGTCTGTAAAGAGTAGGTGACAAAAAGCAGACATGATCAGAGTAACAGCACAGTGCAAGCATGGGATCCACTTGCCGCTGAACAAGACAAACCTGTGCCACACCTGATCAGACAGCAGCGTGGTGGACGAACCAAGCCAAAGGTGACACAATCATGACACCTTGCAGTGATGATTGCTGACTTCTGAGGTCTTAGCCGTATAAGAAAGCAGTAACAAGACATGACAGGCAAGGGAGACACCATCATTCCCCTACTTTACGTATTGTATTTGTAGTGTGCATTTCAACAGTGCAAACAGTGTCACTTTATGTAGACAATGGAAGTCATGCTTGAGAAAAGGCTATGCAACAGTGAGAACAGTGAGTTGCCTCCTCAGTAACACCACCAGGCTGATGGATATGCATTTACTTCAACAGGGACTGAAGGATGGAAATGCAGGTTTTAAACATCAACTCCTTGGAACTAGAAAATGTGATTAATACAGAACCATTTTGTCTAAGTCCATAAAATAAAGTTAACTGTAAACAGATACCTTCCTTTTCCCTATCTAAACACTGGTTCCATCTATGTATACAATACCTGACTCTACTATTCTCTGCCCAAGTTCATCTTAAATCCTTATACCATCAAAACTTCATTTCTGGTGTTGTCGCACTGGATTTCAAGAACATCCTACTTGCTATCCTGATACACGTACAGTGGATCTCTGCTTTTCACATTGGTAAACAGCTCATCAGCCTAACCAGGAAAATAATGTGCTGCATTTGTAGTGCATAAGGAGCAAAGCCTGCTGCCAGTTCCTTCCCACAGACACTTCAAGATTTTTGCATAGTGTTAAATACCACCAACAATCATGAATATAAAAAGCTTTTTTAAAAAAGTGTTTTAATCTCATTTCATCGGTTACACTTCTCAAAAGCAAACTACTCAAGATTCCAAACATTTACAGATTATTGAAGATGATGTGTTCAAGTAAACTAAAAAACCCCAAAGGATACAAACTTGGGGCACTGGTTAGTACCAGTTGCCTTAAGTATCTACATCCTTTGTTTGAAGTCAAATCTTTCTGTGATTGATCCCAACATGCTTACAACTAAATTTCCTACTAAAAGTCAGGCACAAGCTCAGAAAAAAGACTGGATTGTTTAAAAGTCTACTAGAGAGGGTTCAGTGATTTGTAGTAAATCTGCATGCTCTAAATGAGAGCTCACTAAAATTACTGGGGAGGAGGATGCTCCCACAAGGTCGGGGAGCCCTAGCTGTGATGGAACTTGCTATGTAGAACAGGATGACCTCAAACTCACAAATCTGCCTGCCCCTGCCTCTCAAAAAGCCTGGGGCTCAAAGCATGTGCCACCATGCCCAGACATAAATAATAACTTTTTAGGACCTTGTAAACTGTAAAATTATCAAATGCAGAATTATAAAAATAATTTCCCTCAGGATATATTTTACTAGGCATGAATTTTTAATGTTTTAATTTTAATACATTTCCTAAACATACTTAATACCAGAATTTTAAAAAACGAAGCTTTTTTGTTTTTGATTAACGAAACCTACCAGCAATTGGGGGGGGGGGATTTAAAAAGAGGACAAGGAGGAAATACACCAGAAAAGGATCTCATCATGTTAAATGAAAATGAGGACCAATCTCAAGCAGTTTTGCTTATGCAACCCAGAGAGCATTGAACTCATGGTACCGGTACCCAAGAGCTGGGATCACAAGAGAATTTGCCACCACCCCCAACTGAAAATTAAGTTCTACAAAGGAAATCTGTGAAACCACATACTATATATACTTCTCCAATTTCCTGGGTGCTGGGGACACTTCAGTATGTTTAGTACACACAGGATGGGACCAGTCTGAGACGTGTGTGTGTGTGTGTGTGTGTGTGTGTGTGTGTGTGTGTGTGCGCGCGCGCGTGCGCGCGCAGGCGTAGGAAGATTTCAAAGCAGGACATAGCTGCTTCCAAGAGCAAATTGGATAATGCTTGACTCTAGTCATCTGAGTTATTTCTCATCTGTGTCTAACTAGACAATATTCCCTGACAATACAGGCAAAGGGTAAAGCCCAAAGGTATTTTGTATTTTTAAATAATCCAAGTATTAGTGTTACCAAGCCACCTCCACTAAAAAAAAATCTTTCTAGTCAACAATGGAACTCAACTGCCCATGATTTCACACAATTCCATCTAATCTCAGAATATAAAGAAAAGTACAAAGTCTTAGCTATTTAAAATAAATAAAGAAAAACTAGTTTCCTTTGGCATTTTTAGGAAATAAACTACAGCAATAAAGGATGAGGCTGCAATAGGGTATGTGTGCATCTGCAAACATGGAGAACAACATAGCAGCTTGATTTAGTGTGCAGGAACAGCAACCCTAAGAGTCACTAGTAACTGAGAAAGTCTTACAAATTCCTGGAAGAACCTTCACATCTTTAATGTTACATATTTAATGGTTCTTTTATTGCTTGTAGTATCAAGATTATTGAAAAGTTAAATGAAGTTATGCTGAGTTAATAGGTTCAGAAAGTATTTTCCAAACATTTTATGACTGTAAGATGAAGAACACTTCAAGAAAACAAAACTTTTAGAATATGACTTTCAATAGAGAGCCTTACTTTAATTCTGATTCCATTACATTTCTGTTATTTATGCATTGGTCCTCAAAATTCATAGTTGGTATCTCCTATGTAACAACTGCCTATATAAATTCACTTGAACCTTATTAAGATGGTTAAATTATGTGTTTGAGTTTTCAAACTTTGGAACTTAGAATGAGATGTGATGGTCAATAAGAACAGAAGTCTATGTACAAGAGAAGGGAAAGTTTCAATTCTCACATTATTAGAAACATCATAAAGAAAGCTAGATTTATAACACACCCCAATTCCTATGTGCATCTGAAGTATGTACAATGAGACACAACAGCTTTTATGTGTCAACAAGGGGAGTGCAAGAAGAGTGACGCTCAAGTGTCTGATAAAAGCAAACTATAAAGTCCCAGTTAAATTGGACACTACTGCAAACAGCTGGCTGCATCCTTCAAGTTTCCAAAGATTTCATCAGTTTTTTGTAATTCACTGAAAAACTAAGTAGGGTCCTCTTATTAAATCTGGGAATACTGCAACATCAAGTGGTTACTTCTTTTGTAAGAGAAATAAAATTGGCAGCCCCATTTTTACATTATTACTTACATAGTGAAGAACTCGGACAAAACATTTCAAACCTATGACCTAAAATGGAACAAGGGACACTTCCTCAGCACATTTCCCACCAAACACAGAAAAATTCACCATGAGAATTTTAGCTCTGGATGGTAGCAGGGAAAAAATAAGAGTGTCCCTACCTGTCCACAGGGATCAAAAGGCTCTGATTAGGTCATCTTTAAATCCAGATAAATCTCAAAATTCAACAATCTCCTAACGCTTAAAAGGGTGGTCTTTTCAGCTACCCATCCTAAGAAGTCAAGTACAAGCATGCAAGTAAATTCACAGGCACAGAGGATCCATGTTCAAATGCTTAAGGTAGCTGTGATGCAACAGGACAATGTGAGCGGGCGACACTCAGTGTTAATCCTAGTTATTCAACAGAACCCTGAAGCAAACTCGCTAGTCTTGTTACACTGCTAAATACTAACGTAGCATGTTTTCTCCATGGTTTTAGCTTAGCTCAAAGAATTTTTACACTATTAAGAAAAAAATTAAAGTATTTCCCCTTTTTAAATTTACACAGACGTTTAATTAGCTTTATTTACAGAGCAGGGAATTTTTCTTTTGCAGTCTCCAATGGTGCCTAGATAACATCATTAGGCAAGAATGCCAGTTGAAAAGAAATTTATGCAGAACCCTAAAAATAACAGATGTTGGTGCTCCTCAGGAAGAGGTGACAATGGCTGGCAGCAGTCCCAGGCCTCAGTTACTCAGAAGCAGCTCCGTTGCAGTCTCTACATCCCATGATTTTGAAGACAAGGCCACTATTACTGCATTCTGTAAAGAAGAGGACAAGAGCAATCACATCTCAAGGAAACACTAAGCTCTGAAAAACACTAAGCATTGAGAATCCTGCATTCTTTACTCTACCAGTGACTGGAATCAACAAAAAGAATCGTTGATTTCAGTAACAAAACACTATTAACCAAAACTGTTTTTTGGGTTTTTTTTTTTTTTTTTTTTTACATTGCTAGCCCACCTGTCCCAAGGACTCAGAGCAGTTTAGAATGAAGAACTCAAATCAATTCCTCCTGTACTTACCCTATCAAAGCCCATAGCACACAGGTTTTCTATTTTTTTGGTGTATTCTGGACTAGAAACGGGTGCTCCAGCATACACATGTGCCCAAAGTCGAGCTGTCTGCTTGAACATTTCAGGATTTTGTTTGTACTACATGAAGGGGAGGAAAAAATGATTAGCATGACAATACAGTGAGAGTTACCATAGCAGCTCAATTAAAGAAAATACATTTTTATCTAAGATGGGGCTCATTTGGGCTGGGGCTGTGGGGATCAGTGAATGGTAGTGCTAGCTGAGTCAAGTTCAGTTACCAGCACCCCTTGTGACAAAACACAAACTGATTTGTGTTCCACTGAAGGTGAGTCATTCAAAACATGAAGCTTTGAAAATGTGAAATGACATGAACATTGCTGATAAATATAACCAGCTATACTACTAGGCCAAGCTCTAGCTGAGATGCCTCTCTTTGAACTGTTCTGTGTAGTAATCAAAGTAAACCCAACACTCAAAAACCCTAACTTGTATCGCCCTTTAGGAAAATTTAAAATTCAGAGTCCTTTTAGACAGTAAGGTTTGCCACATGAATTTGAAAGAGATGAGGTAAATTCATTTGTACAAACTGTCAATTCATTTAATATTTCCTTTTTTGTTGTACTTTCTAGACAGGGTTACTGTATACTCTGTATAACAGTCCTGGTTGTCCTGGAACTTATGTTGTGGACTAGGCTAGCCTCAAACTCACAGAAATCTGCCTGTCTGTCTCCCAAGTGCTGAGATTAAAGGTGTGTGCCACCTCCCAGCCACTTAATATGTCTTTTCAAAGTACCAATAATAAATTTTTTGAAATTTTTATTTACATATGCATGTAAATATATATATATATATATATATGCATGTAAATATATATATATATATATATATTTACATGCACACATATGTGGAAATGACCAGGAAGGTCAAGAAGAAGGCAGTGATGAGCTTCCCAATGTGGGCACTGGGATCTCATCTCTGGTCCTTTAAAAGAACAGCAGGAACTCCTAATCACTAAGCTCCTAATCACTGAGCCATCCATCTCTCTAGCCCCAGGACAGAAGGCAAGTAAATTATTTCTTTCTTTCAGTCCTCTCTTGGACAGCAGGGTCTACTGAGTTAGCTCCAGAACAGCCAGGGCTACACAGAGAAACCATGTCTCAAAAAAAAAATAAAAGATACTTAATGTATTTCAATCTATACTTTATAACCAGACAAGCAAAATTATTTTAGGTGTTAAAAGTCAGCTTTGATTTTATATCTCAACCTGTGGGAAAATCAAAGCTAAACTTCTCAAGACAGAGACTTCTGCTACCAAATTATTAATGAATAGCACACATGTACAAAATGCAAAAACCCCAATTCCAAGCATTTTAAGTCCACTGATGGAACTAAGAAAGCATGCATTAAAAAAAAAAAAAAAAAAAAAAAAAAAAAAAAAAAGCAGATCTTCAAGGAGAAGGAAGAGAGAAAGGTGTCAAAATATATATTTAAAGCCATAAAGGGAAGCCTGAAGGAATATGTGTCTCTTCCCAGAACCAACATCAGGTGGCCAAAATCAAGGGTATATAGACAACACCTTCTTCAGATCACAACAGGTACTGGCACTCAAGGGCACATACACATACATGTATATATATAATTTTAAAAAAAGGAAAAAGTTGTTTTAAAGAAGACAAGGATAAAGAAATTTGGGCCAGGAAGATGGTTCAGCAGCTAAGGATACTAGCTGCATAAGTCTGACAGATTGAATTTCATAACTAAAAGCCTGGCAGTAATAGCATATACCTTTAATCACAGCACTCAAGAGTCAGAAATAGGTGGATCTGTGAGTTCAAGGCCACCCTGATCTACAAAGCAAGTTCCAGGACAGCCAGAGCTACACAGAGAAACCCTATCTTGAAGAAAAAAAAAAACAAAAAACAAAAAACAAAACAAACAAATACAAGAAGAGTTTGAAGCCTCAAACCCAAGTACATGGAAGAAGATGGCCCAAACATGAATGCTGTGAGGTACCTGTGCCCACACTTAAAACATGAAGCAAGCATGTGTGCACATGCACACACAAGTACACTTTAAAAAAAAAAATATCATATATATATATAAGAAATGCTTCCCAAAAGGGGACACAAGGAAAATAAATATAAAAATGATTATGATCTCAGAAATTCATGAACTCAAATAACGTAAGAGTAAAAAAGTAAAAATCATGAAAGACCTCTTCAATGTAAATATTAGGTCATAAGTGAGTGACAGTGGAGTTCCTAACCAGTTGATTTGGGTTGTTTGTTTTGAGACAGGGTCTTACTTTGTTACTCTGCCTGGTCGGGAATTTACTTAGTACAGCAGGTCCACCTGTCTCTGCTTCCCAATTGCTGGGATTAGAGTACACGGCCACACACGCTGGATCAGGGAAAAGGTCAAGCACAAGCAATTCCTCAGGGTGCTTTGATCATTCAGGACATGTATACAATGGAAGGGGAACAACAATAGGATAGAACAGCTATCCTTAAAAGTGAGTAACAATGGCCAGACAGTGGTGCACTAGGGAGGCAAGGCAAGGGGATCTTTGTTGAGTTCAAGCTCAGCCTGGTTTAGAGTGAGTTTCAAGAAGGCCAGGAAGACTCTTACACAGAGAAACCCTGTCTCAAAATAGGGGTGGGAATAGTCATAAGAACTAAGAATGATCTCTAAATATAGGGAGAAAAGAGGGAAGTATTTCATAAATTGAATGAACATGTTGTTTAACAACAAAAATGCTCAGTAAATCATAACCAGAATACTTTAAAGTAGAGGTTGGCAAACTATGTCTGAAGTAGAAATTCTAGTAATTTAAACTTTTGAAGCCACTGTTACTATGACTAGATAGCAAACACATGTATATGACTCAGTTCCTATAAAATAAGATTGCCCAAACCAACCAGAGTGAATATATCTTCCCTCACCGTTAGAGACATTAAAGGTAAAAGGAAAAAGTTCTCTTCAACACACATGAAAATGACACTACTGTCCGGCCCACTTCTGTGGTGGGAGGTTATTACGATTACTACCAGGAAGAAGCCAAAAAGGCATGGAAAGAGGGTTACAAAACTGCACAAATGATAAAGTGCATGTGTAGAATCTACACAGGTACTCACTGAGGAATTCTTTCATACATTAAGAAATAGCATCTATCATATATCCAATGAAATCATTTCCAAATTTAGTCCCAATTTTAATGTTCATATGCTGACATCCAATATTAAAATTCATATACACATGTCTAAGACAGTCTTTCAAAATCTGCCTTCTTACCTGATTTGCTACTACTGCATCTTGGGGGTCATCTGGTTCTGCAGCTGCCAACAGTGCTTGCAATGACAATAATACCGTGCGCAGAGTCATTGCTGCCGCCCTAAATTTCAAAATAGGAAAACATCCCACTTAAAAGGGGTGCTGAATGACTTAAACAAAGTGTATGTTTTCTGAACTGAAACGAGTTAACTAATGTATGTGTAATTGCCATTTCTTACCATGAGCCTATTACTAAGGCAATTTAAATCATTGCATCCTTATCTGACCTTACTTTTCTCGTTGTTACTTTTACCTCTCGTGTAAGCTCTATCTACTGGCTCCATTTTTAATTCATTCTCTTCTTAAACAAAATATTTTTTATGTGTATGAGTGTTTTGTCTCCACGTGTGTATGTGCAGCTGAGTGCCTGATGACCACTAAGTCAGAAAAGGGCTCTGGATCCCCTGGTACTTGAGTTGCAGATGATTAACTGCTGTTCCAGTGCTGGGAACCAAAGCCAAGTCCTCTACAAGAACATGTGCTCTTATCCACTAAGCAACCTCTAGTCCCTTACCCAGATTTCTTAATAAATAGATACTTAAAAGTTATTAATATTAATATAACCTGTGGGTTTTCTGAAAGTTTTGTTTTTAATTGTAAGAATATTTATGTATGTGCATGTAAATACAGGTGCCTACAAAAGCCAGAAGCAGCTGATCCTCTCCAGATGGAGCTACAAACAGTTTTATCCCATCCAACATAGGTATTGGGAATTCAACTTGGGTCCTTCAAAGAATAGTACATACCTTTAACTACTGACCCACATATCCAGCCATCTCTTTTAAGAGCATGCCAAATAAAACAAGCAAATAAATTACCTTTTAAAAGTTGCATAATAAGCCGGGCATTGGTGGCACATGCCTTTGAACCCAGCACTGGTAAAGCAGAGGCAGGTGGATATCTGTGAGTTCAAGGCCAGCCAGGTCTACAGAGTGAGTTCTAGGACAGGCTCCAAAGCAACAGAGAAATCCTGTCTTGAAAAACCAAAGGGGGGGAAAAAAGTTCCACAATAACGAATATATAACGAATTTTTGTTTAAAGCATGATCCCTTAAGGTTGGAGAGATGGCTCACAGTTATGCATGTGTACTGCTTTGGCAGAGGACCTGAGTTTAGGTTCCAGCACCCATGCTGGACAGCTCACAATGGCCTGTAATTCTAGCTCCAGGAGATCTAATTCTTTCTGGCCTCCTTAGGCACCCATACAGACTACATATACCCACACCAATACATATACCTAATTAGAAATAAAAATAAATGTTATTACTTAAATAATGCTTCTAAATATATTTAACAACCTTCGTCTTTATGAAGCAATTATTTGTTTAAAATTTGCTTTAGTAATACTGAAATGTTAATGAACATAAAAAGTACAAGGCTAATATGTATAAAACAGTATAGTCTTCTGAGGAACTGAGATGTCAACCTGGGCCCTTGTGAAGGCAAAGCGGTCTACCACTGAACTATATCCCTAGCCCTGCCTCTGTCCCTATAGTATGCTCTATTTTTGACCACACAATCATCAATCTTAACCTTTTCTGGTTGAATTTGTAACTCCTAAAAACAAACAAAAAAATGCCAGGGACCAGTCTTATCTACTGAGCAAGTTCCAGGACAGCCAGGGCTACACACTGAGACTGTCTCGAAACAAAGCAAACCAGTGAATATTTTCAGTTTCCATGGATAATACACAAGGCAATCCTAAAGGTAACATATAAAGGCAGACCTATCAAAATTACACTTGACTTCTCCATGGAAACCCTCAAGGTCAGAAGGTCCTGGATAGATGTTCTACAAGTACTAAGAGTCCACGGATGCCAGCCCAGGATACTATACCCAGCAAAACTCTCAATCACTATAGACGGAGAAAACAAGATATTTAATGACAAAGCCAAATTTAGACAGTACGTATCTACAAATCCAGCCCTACAGAAAGTTTTGGAAGGAAACTCCAACCCAAGGAAGTTAACTACGCTCACAAAGACATAGGCAACAACTACCAAGGGTAAAGCAGGACAAATATATTCACAAATCCACTGCTACCAACAAATCTAAAACAAATAAGCATTAACAATCAATGTTCCTTACTCTCCCTCAACATTAATGGTCTTAACTCACCTATAAAAAGACACAGGCTAACAGAATGGATATGAAGCCAGAATCCATCCTTCTGCTGCATACAAGAAACACATCTAAGCTTCAAAGATAGATATTACCTCAGGTAAAGGTTGGGAAAAGACTTTCCAATCAAATGGACCCAAGAAGCAAGCAGGTGTGGCTATCCTAATATCTAACAAGTTAGACTTCAAACTAAAATTAATCAAAAGAGATGAAGACGGTCATTTCGTGTTCATCACAGGAAAAATCCATCAACACAAAAGTCTCAATTCTGAACATCTATGCCCCAAATACAAAGGCGCCTACATTCATAAAAGAAACGCTACTAAAACTCAAACCTCACACATTTATAGTGGGAGACTTCAACACACCACTCTCACCACTAAACAGGACCACCAATCTGAAACTCAACAAAGAAACAAAAGAACTAACAGAAGTTATGGGTTTAACAGACATCTATAGAACATTCCATTCATTCAAACACAAAAGAATATACCTTCTTCTCTGCTCCACATGGAACCTTCTCTAAAATCGACCACATACTAGGTGGCATAACAAACCTGAACAGAAAGAGAATTGGAATAGTCCCCTGTATCTTATCAGACCACCATGCTTTAAAATTGAAATTCAACAACACAAATTGCAGAAAATCTACAAACTCATGGAAACTGAACAATGTGCAATTGCACCACACATGGGTCAAAGAAGAAATAAGAAAGAAATTAAGGACTTTCTAAACAGTCACAAATAGAGGAACATGGTATGTACTCGCTCATATATGGATTTCAGACCTAGAGCAAAGTATCACCAACCTATAATTCACACCACCAGAGGAACTAGGATACAAGGTGTATTCTAAAAGATTCATATAAAGTTCCTCACAGAAGGGGAAAGGGACAAGTCCCCCAGAGCACATGGGAAGTGGCGGGGGACAGCAAATGGAGAGAGAAGTAGGAGAAAGAGAAGGGGAGTAGAGGAAAGCACGTGAAGATTGAGTCAGGATAGGAATAGAAGAGAGAGGGAGGGAGGGAGGGAGGGAGGGAGGGAGGGAGGGAGGGAGGGAGGGAGAGAGAGAGAGAGAGAGAGAGAGAGAGAGAGAGAGAGAGAGAGAGAGAAGAAGCCATTAATGGTTTGAAGAGAAAACTGAACCTAAAGAAAGGTCTAGAGTCCTACAAGACTTTCGACAACTAACAATTACAGCAACCGTGGAAAGGCTACCATAAATGCCCTTCCAAGATAATGAGATCAACAACTAACTTATCCATCATCATGGAGCCCTCATCTAGTACCTGCTGGAAACAGGAGCAAACACCCATACATAAACACTGAGTCAAACTAGAATCCAGATGCAGAGGGAGAGGACAAGACCAGGTTGCAGAAACACATAGAGACGGCTGACCTGAACAAGGAGGAGCTAACAGGCCCCCAGACTGACAGCTGGGAATCCAGCATGGGACTGACTCAGGCCCCCCTGAATATGGGTCTCAGCTAGAAGGTCTGAGCAGCTTTTCTAAGGGACCTCAGACAGTGATACCAAGATGTATTCCAGGTGCACAAAAGGACCTTGCGGACACATCCCCCATGGAGGGATACTCCCTTAACCTAGTGACAGGAGAGAAGTCCTAGTCCCTTGACAGATCTACATGACCCCACCTGGATGGCATAACCCTACTTGTGGAATTGGGGTCGGGGGATGGGAGGGGAGGGTGGTCAGGGTGCATGTGAGGTAATATATTTAAATAAAATTTAAAAAAAAACATAATTGATTAGAAACAGCAAGTGTTAAAGCAGTCAGCTTCGTTCAAGGTCCCTCCCTCCTGACTAGAAGCACCAGCAGAACTGGGGCAGTGTAGATGACACACAGGATGAACTGCTCCCTCCTGTCTCTGTCCCAAGCACCAGAACTTTAGGACTGTATTACTCATGCTCAGCTGATGCTTAGGAACTTAAATGAAAATCCTCACGACATCTGCACAATTAGGAGCTAGGAATGTCTGACAAAAGATAGTATTTGAAAGGAGGCTGGTAACAAACTGATTTATTAAAAAAATAAATGAATAAATAAGGAAGCATTAAGATATGAAATTGAGAAATCATGGCAGAGAATATTCAGGGAGTTAAGGGGGAGAAATGAGAAGAGATATAATCATATTTCAATGAATACATATATGAAATTCTCAAAATAAAGAGTATTAACTTTTTTCTTAAGTAATACTAGCCAGGTATGATGGATGGTACAACCTTAAATCCAAACACTTAGGAGGCAGAGGCAGAGAAAGCTCTGACTTTCATGCTAGTCTGGTTTTATAGTGAGACCTGGATGGATGGATGGGTGGGTGGGTGGGTGGGTGGGTGGGTGGGTGGGTGGATGAAGGAGAAAAGTTGTCTCCTCAAAGTACACCATGGCACGCATGCACACTTTTTGATACTACTGAAAATGGCCTGAGTAGAGCAGAGTGAGAGACTAAGAGGGCACAAGCTACTGCAATCATCCAGACAAAAAGAAAATGAACTGTGACTCAAAGAGACAGTAGAAAGCTGCTTGTAAGACTCCAATTTTTACCAACAGATTTGGGTATACACGTACATGACATCAGAAAAAAGAAAATCCAAGTGTGGTGTTGTATGCCTTTAACCTGAACACTTGAGAGACAGATTGGTGGATCTCTAAGTTCAAGGCCAGGATTATCTACAAAACAAGTTCCAGGCAAGCCAATGCCACACAGTGAGACTGTCTCAACTTTAAAAAAAAAAAAAAAAAAGGAAAAGAAACTCTAACATCATAATGAGGTTTCCAAGATCATAACTGCAGATGTACAACTGCCATGAGCTTAAATGAGTAAGGAAAAAAGCAAAAAGATTTTTTTTTTTAAATGTTTAGTTACGCATATGGCTGTTCTGCCTGAAGGTATGTCTGTTTACCACGTGTGAACCACGTGTGAGCTTAGTGCTCCTTAGCTGGAAGAGGGCACTGAATGTCACAGCACTACAACATGCATGTGCTGGGATCCAAGCTGAATTCTCTAGATGAGCAGCCAGTGTTTTTAACTGATGAGTCATCTCTCCATCCCCAAAGGATTTTTTTTTTTTTTTTTTTAAAGTTAGTATTTCACTATGTACCCTGGCTTTGTAGACCAGACTGGCCTCTTAACTAACAAAGACTTGCCCGCCTCTGCCTCCTGGATGCTGAGATTTAAAAAAGTTGTGCATCCCCAACTTCAGAAATAGCAGTTTTAGGTTGGTTGGGGTTTAACACAGTTAAGATGTTTATTACATAATTAAATACAAATAAATAGACAACATGAGCTTGGAGTATAAGGAAGATTCTTATTTGCCTGGCAAGATGGCTCAATGAGAAGAGGACCTTGATGTCAAATTTTGTCAAGTTTGATGTTAGAAAGGGTACCAAATACAGGAGGTTGTCTTCTGCCTCTCTCCATGCTCTATGTTCTTATTACATGTGCACACATACATATTTTAATGTGAAAATAAATGTAAACAGATCAACAATGAGGCTAAGGTAAAAATGGAAAAATATGAAATTAGAAGAAGCAAAGGAGAAGAGTCTAGAACTCATTGCCCTGCAGCATACTCATGTGCACCTGGAAGACACAGGAAAAACAAGCAGATTATGGAGTGGAAACAGGAAAAGAAAGCTAAATAGATGCCCTGGAAGGAAAATAAAGAGAACATCTCCAATTATGCTAATATGCACTGGCATCACAGTGACATGCTGTAAACAAAATGTAAAAACAAAAACAAAAACAAAACCATGAGACCTAGACTTTTAAGACACTGGCCAAAAAAAAAAAAAAAAAAAGTGATTAATCAAATATATTCTAAAATAAGATACAAGAAGAAACCAAAACAGAAATCCTACCCTGTTTACAGTCAAATAAACCAAACTGCCCATATACTAAATGTCATCACTCCAGTAAGAGTGGTCTAAAACATTACTTTCTCTCCTTTACAGAGTTAAACACAAACTTGAACTGCTTGAACACTAATACATGACTTCTGTAAGATCAGTGCTCCATGTATTCTTACTATAGTACCATTTTCCTTTGGTGAAGTCACACTTTTATTTCCCTCCTTTCACAGCAGGGTCTCATTTTGTAGCACAAACTTATCAGCCTACCTCAGTCTCCCAAGTGCAAGAATCACAAGTGTATATACTACTTTACTCGATTTCATTTTATAATTCTGGACCCAGTTTCTTCATTAATAAGATCATGTGCTAATTGTGAGTAAGAACATTCTATGGCTAAACCTTCTCCAGCAGATTAATTACTGCTAACATATACCAGGCTTCATTCTAAAGGTATCACATGAATCAACATATTTAATTCTCTCAGGCCAATGAAATAAACATGAACATCATCTCACAAATTAGAAAGCTAGTAGTAGCCACACAACCAAACAAATGGAAGAAGGGGGATTTAAAACTGAAAGCTACAAGAACTTTTAAATACTCAATCACTACTGAAGTGCAAGGCAGGAAAGAAAGCTCCAGTTCAAAGGCCAGCTTGAGCTTCACAGAAAAACCTTTGAAGCAAAAATAAGCAAAACAAAACAGTGTACTTGTGCATGCATATGCACCAATGAAATAGTTCAGCAAGTTTAACTGCTTGCTGCTTCCCACCAAGACTGCTGCTACCTTGAACTCAATCCCGGGGCCCAAACAGTGCAGTGCATAGAAGTCTGCAGGCTGTTGTGTGACCTCCATAGTATACTGTGGTAAAATCATGCACACACACATACATACTTACAAAACCAAAACCAAAAATATACAAAGAAAATAACCAGGCAAATGAAGTGAAAGACTTATGCAAAAGAATATAAATTAACCAAAGAACTGTGACACCTGAGAGCCTTAACTGTATTCACTTAATACAACTTTGAACAACCTTTGCCTATATTTCATCTGAGTGAAAGATGGCTGTGTCAACTTACATTTTTAGTCTATTACAAATACCTTCCTTAGATAACAAAATAAGAAACCCAAGACTTTTTAAATGTAAAATTAGTACCTGATATTACCTTTAAATAGCTATCATGGTATCAATCAAAATCAAATTTTCAATAATGTACTTAAGAGAATTTGTAAACTATTCCTGAAGTATAACTTATGTTCTAGAGATTTAACACACTCAACACTATTGGTTTTGGTTCTCCTATGTGACAGAGAAGAGAGAGCAAATTCAGAAGTTTCTTACCATTGATCTTTCAGGATATCCAAACAAATAGCCCCTGTGACGGAACTAATATTAGGATGCCATATTTTAGTGATAAACCGGACCTAGAATACAAAGCACACTTGAGTTTTTAAGTAACAAGAGGAAAATAAAACAACACAAAAAGCCAACATGTAAAAGTAAAATAGAACTAGAAGAAGATGGTATCACACAAGAGAAATGATACACTTTTATGACATATTTTTCCAAGGAGCCATATGGAAAGCAAAGCTTTCAGTAGACCAAAGGTCAATGACATATTTTAAAGCTTTGACATACATCCTACATTCAAACATACCTAATTATCAGATGTTTACACTGTACCTAGTATTAAGATAGATGTGAGAAATAAGACTATAAAATCCAATAAAACAGCATGTATAACCAAATGAAAACATTAAATGATATCTACCCAAGTTTAAGGTAAGGAGCAAAAGCAGGCTTAGAGAAAGATGGATGCATTTGTACTAATGGCTTACAATGGCCCCAATTTTTCTATACAAGTTATTCTAAAAAATTATTAGGTAATTCTTTGATAAATATTTATTAGATTTATCAGAGAAATCAGATAAATATTTGAAGGTCTACTATTATATGTCAAACACTAAAAAGAAACAATCTTATAGAGTTTAAGAAAGTAAAATCAAGGTGGACATGGTAGCCAACATCTTTAATCCTAGCAATGGGGAACCAGAAGAGGACAGATCTCTGTAAAAGTTGGAGGCCAGCCTGATCTGCCTAGACAGTTCATGCCAGCCGGGGCTACAAAAACAAACACTTCCACTGTATTCAGTATTCAGCAATAACTACCTTCTCTCAACAGCTCTAAAAAAATGTTCATTCCTGGTTTGGATATTTGTGACAGGCTGGCTCATTCATCTGGTGTAAGACCATGCTATTAGCCTGACTTTAGACCACAGCTCAGGTCTCCTTCAATCCCATATTCTACTCTCTGCCTCAGTATCATGTATCATAGTCAAGGGTTTTTTTTTTGTTTTTTTTTGTTTTTTTTTTTTTTTTTTTGGCCTGAACTCTTTTGTGCCATTTCTTTTCTCAGCAACATTCTTCTATACACTCTTTCCCTGAGCTAAAGTCATATTTTAGCTCCCATAATTTATAACTTCTACCTAACCTATTCCCACGGTACCCTTTATTTCTCCCTATATCAAAGCTGTAATTTCTGCCTTGTCCCATCTTTAATAAAAGGTTCTGTGTCCACCATCTATTGTAACATCTTCAGAGTCTATAGTACCTGACACTGCATATACTTGCTATTATCACAGAGATGAACAAGAGCTCTTTCAAATTCAGACAAAATCAAGTAACAGGTCTTATACACAGTAACCATTTCTTTTTGTTTGTTCATTTGTTTTTCCTGACAGGGTTTCTCTGTGTAGCTCTAGTTGTCCTGGAACTTGCTCTGTAGACCAGGCTGACCTCGAACTCAGAGATCATGCCTCTGTGTGTACCATCATGGCCAACCATTTCTTTAAAAAAAAAAAAAAAAAAGGAAAAAGAAAAAAAAAAATTCAGGGGGCTGGAGAGTTCAGAATTAAGAGCACTTGCTGCTCTTCCAGAGGTCCTGAGTTCAATTCCCAGAACCACATGGTGGCTCACAACCATCTATAATTTGATCTGGTGCCTTCTTCTGGCATGTAGGCAGAACACTGTATAGATAATAAGTAAATCTTAAAAAAGTGCCTTTGATCCCAGCACTCGGGAGGCAGAGGCAAGACAGATATCTATGAGTTTGAGGCCAGCCTGGTCTACAGAGCGAGTTTCAGGAAAGGCTCCAATGCAATGCCTTGTCTCGAAAAACAAACCAAAACAAAAGCTCCAAAGTGACATAGATAAACCCTATCTTTAAAAACCAGACAGAAAGAAAAAAATTATTTTTATTTGTGTGCTCATGTGTATGTGCTCACACATGTGCACACATTGGAACTATACTTGTATAGGTCCCTGAAAAGGCTAGAAATGGTCTCAGATCCCTTGGAGCTGGAGTTACAGGAAACTGTAACAGTTATCAGTATTATTCTATCTTCCTACCATGTACAATCTCCATTTCCCTCACTCTTTAATTCAACAAATATACAGCTCCTTCTTCATGCTAGGCACCAGTTCACAATTCCATCATTAACTTTGATGAAAAAAAACTTCTTAAGGATATTATATTTACTCCACAATGGAAAATACTTCACTTAAAGGGAAGAAAAAACTGTATCACTTAAAACAAGCAGAACTACACTTTGAAGATTGGTTCTAGTGGGCTGGAGAGATGGGTTATTGGTTAAAAACACTGGCTGCTCTTCCAGAAAACCCAGCTTCAAGTCCCAACACCACATGGTAGCTCACAACTGTCTGTTATCCCAGTTCCAGGGGATTGAACACCCATACACCAACAGGTAGGTAAGATACCAATGCACATAAAATAAAAAATAAATCTTTACAATAATTAGTATTGATATTTAATACTCAATTTTAGAGCTGGAGAAATGGCTGAGTGGTTAATAGAACTGGTTATTCTTCCAGAGGACTAGGCTTCACCATTCAAACCATCATGATGTTTGTTTCTTTTTTAAAAAAAAAAATAAACTGTGGATTGCCAGGCAGTGATGGTGCACACCTTTAGTCCCAGCACTCGGAAGGCAGAGGCAGGAGGATCTCTGTGAGTTCGAGAACAACCTGGTCTATAAGAGCTAGTTCCAGGACAGGCTCCAAAGCACAGAGAAACCCTGTCTCGAAAAACCTAAATACATACATACTGCATTTAAAGAAAGCCAAAGGTTCTGATCTTTACTGTTTTATTTTCATGTATAAGGATGTTTTGTATGCATGTTTGTCTGTATACCACACGTATACCTGGTGTCCAGGAAGGCACGGCCATTATGTGGGTGTTGGGAATCAAACCCAGATCCTGTTGAAGAGCAGCCACTGCTCGTAACGATTGAGCCATCTCCCCAGTTCACATACAACTATTTCTAATTCTAATTCCAGGAGACACAAGACAGTCTTCAGACTTCCAAGGACACTGTATGCACGTGGTTCACATACATATATGCAGACAAAACCACACACATAAAATTTTAAAATGTAAAGTAATTACTACCTATTTCATATATTAAACAGCTATATTGGCTAGTCCAATAGTGAGTTGCCCATACTAACTGGAGGCTCGAACAGCTATATCCCCAGCCCTATAGAATCTAATTCTAAATTATTTTTACTACCTCAAGAAGAAATCCTGGGGCAAAGCACTGGCCTAGTAGGCACAGCCCCCATAATAAAAAATAGCAAAGAATGAAAACAATGGGCTGAAGACATGAGGCAGTGAGAAAAAGCTACTGTGCATAAAAACCTGAGTCTGAGTCTCTCTCTCTCTCTCTCTCTCTCTCTCTCTCTCACACACACACACACACACACACACACACACACACACACACACACGTGCGCGCGCGCATTTTGTTCTTACTCCTTCTGCACCAGAATCTCAGAAGGATAATCAGTCCAATAACCTAACATAGAAACTACCAAATCCTGGACAATCTGGATGCTAGTTAACCTCTTAGTCCAAGTTCTCTCACCTGTTAGAGCTAAAGGCCTTTACAAAAAATGAAAAGTCATAGCACAAAAGACATCATTATCTAATACTGAAAATGCAGTAGCTATAAAGCCGGTTTCTTCTTTCCCTTTCATTTCCATTTGGGAAAAAATACAATATTGCTTGAGTCTAGGAATTCAAGTCCAGCACAGGGAAAGCCCTTTTCAAAAACAAAAACCCACTAGGCATAGTATCATACACCTTTATTCTAAGAATTTGGAAGGTACAGGCAGGCAGATCTCTACAAATTACAGGATAGTAAAGGCTCTAAAGTGGGACAGTATGTCAAAACAAACAAAAAACCCACAGATTGACCAGATGGCTCAGAGAACAAAGGCACTTGTTATCAGGCCAACTCTTACAACCTGAATATGATCCCCTGGGCCAATTCCGTTTGTCCTTTAACAAATATCAATGTGTAAACATTGACCCACTTGCATTTACAGTTGGTGCATACATGATAAATAAGCAAATAAAATTTCGTTTTTGTTTTTTTGATACAGAGTTTCTCTGTGTAGCCCTATTAGACCAAACTGCCTTCAAACTTATATAGATTCAACCTGCCTCTGCCTCCCCAGTGCTGGGATTAAAGGCATGCACCACCACTGCCCAGCATGCAAATAAACTTTTTAATTTAGTTATCCATGTGGATGGATAACTAAAGTGAAATATATACATACAATGAATAAAACACTCAACATAAAAAGAGAGGAAATTGTTACAACATGGATGAACAGAGACAACAAAATGCTAAGGGCATAAACCAAAGGACAAACACTGTGTGATTTGTCTTATACAATGAACTCAGAAGAGTCAAATTGATAGACACAGGAAAAAAAATACAATAATGGTTTTTCTTTGTTTTTTTTTGGGGGGGCAGTACTTTATTTAAGGTGTCTTCTATTATGTAGCTCTAAGCTGTCCTGGAACTCAATATGTAGATCAGGTTAGCCTGAGATTCACCTGTCTCTACCTTCCAAGTGCTAGGCCAGCCTGATCTACAGAGTAAATTCCAGGATAGTCAGGATGAGACAAAGACTCTCATACAGCATGTGCCTCCAGCTGGGATTAAGGTATATCCTACCACATTCTGTTAAACAGTAGTTTCTTAAAATCTGAAGTAGGGCACTATAGAATTACTATTTAATGAATAGACATCTCTGAAGTAGATGCTTATGGGTACAAAAAGTGTGAATACACACTGCTGAATAATGCATCTAAAAATGGCTAAGGGAGCTGGGAATGAAGCTCTAGAGTGTTTACCTAGAATGCAGAAAGTTCTGCCTGCATTCTAGGCATGTGTATGAATACAAAGCAATCAGCAGTTCAATGTCATCAACAGTACATAACTAGCCTGGACTTCTCTGACTCCAATCAATCAAAAGAATTAAATTGGTAAATTTTATTTTACATATTATTTTACCACAATTACAAAAAGAAAAGCAAACTCCCTTTCCCCTCAAAAGTCAGGTATATCATAAAATAGATGTATATAAGCAATAGAATTAGATGCTCCAAACTCATCCCGGAATACTGTGAGTGAAGCTAAGTGGTAAAATGTTTGTCTAATGTGCACAAGGCTACAGGTTCAAATCCACAGCAACAGAAAACAACCTGGAATTTTCACTACCATATTCCTTTTTGTTTGTATTTTGGTCCTGTGTACTTTGTTGGTTTTGTTTGCTCTAGGTCTCTGGTACAGTGCCATAGAGCCTCAAACTCAGTCCTTGAACTATCATCTCCAATGTTGAGGTTACAGGTTCCTATCTATTTTTAAACAGAAACAACTAACAGGTTGAGTGATGCATTCCAGAACATTTCAGCTGCTATGATATTAAATCAAGGACATTACACTATCAAAAGCTATACATAAGCATAGGAGTAATAATGTCACTGAAAGACATATATGAATTGGAACAGTATTTATGTCAACATTATATAAACTTTATAAAATACTAATGAGATGGGGGGCAGCTCGTTATTTAAGAGCATTTCTTGCTGTTCTAGGACCCAAGTTCAGTTCTTAGCACCTACAAATGGCAGCTTACAATGTCTCAGAACTGCTCATATCCACATTACAACTATAAGGGATACCTTTTTTCTAGCCTCCATGGGCACCCATACACAATTAATGAATATCTTTAAGAACAAAAAACACAGCAGTCTAAGAAAGCTGATATAGGCCATTAAATCCAGCATTAAAAAGGCAAAAGTAGTTGAATTTCTGGGAGTTGAAGCCAGCATGGAATTCCAAGAAAGTCAGAGCTGTACAATGAGACACTGTCTCAAAAAAGGGGAAAGAAGCAAGGGTATAGAGTTGGCTCAGAGGTTAAAAATGTTTAATGGAAGGCTGCCAAGATGGCTTGGGGATTAACAACACTGGCTGGTTTTTTTCCATAAACCTGGGTTTGATTCCCAGCAACCACATTGCAGCTTACAATTATCTGTAAACCCAATACCTAGGGATGCCCTCTTCTGGCCTCTGTAGGCATAGCATCACACAGTGAACAGACATATGCAAGCGAAACACTCATACACATTTTTAAAAAGTAAAAGAGTGCTTGCTGCTTTTGTAAAGGACTCATGTTTTGTTGCCAATATTGTCAGGCAGCTCATAATCACCTATAACACTAGCTCCGGGAGACTCAACTAAGTCTTCTTCTGGACTCTTAGGTGTCTGCACTTCCATGTGCACGTATCTACACAGAGATACACAAAAATAAAAAATAATCTATTAATTTCTTAGCTGGGTGTGGTAGTGCATATCACCTGGTCTACATGGTGACATCTTGCCTAAATAAATAAGAGCAGAAAATCTACTAATTTTTTTAAAGACTTATTTAATTATTTACTATGCAGAGTTCTGTCTGCATATGTGTCTGAAGGCCAGAAGAGGGCGCTAGATCTCTCTACGGATGGGTGTAAGGCACCATGTGGTTGCTGGGAATGGAACTTAGGACCTCTGGAAGAACAGCTAGTGTCCTTAACCTCTGAGCCATCTCTCCAGTCCCCTAAATCTATTTAATTTTTTTAAAGTGAAAGCTGAAAAAGAAGTATTTGTTGGGCACAGTTTACAAAGATATATTATTTTATTCACAGCTCAAAGAAAACTAGAACTTCAAATAATATGGGTAAAGACTCAAGTGAAAACAATAGAAGGCACACAAGAATAAGTGCCTATCTACAAATAGTAAATAATCTAGGCTAGAGAATGAGATTCATGTATAGATGAAAAGGATAAAACCCTAAGATGGACAAGAAAGCTGAGATCCAGTTGTGGGAAGCCGTAAATGCCAGGATAAGGAGTTCATACACTATTAGCACTCTTCTTTAGGGGCACTTACTGAAGAGTGAATGAGTAGAATGACAAAAGATGAACAGTTGATCATGTAATAGGCAAAACAAGGAGTAATAAAATTGAATGCCTAAACAATGGTTTTAAATATAAAGGTATAAAGAAACTGACCTAGTCAAAAATCTAAGTTTAGGCTAGGTTTCCTTATAATATACAATCTGTGAGTAACAGCGTTCTCTCTGTTAAGGCTTTCCCCTTCTACAATGTGAGCACCATAAAAGCAGAGTGTTAAGCTTACTGATAAATTCTTTGGCACACTTTACTTATTTTTTGTTTGTTTGATTTTTGTTGTAGTTTATTTGAGGTTTTTCTTTTTGGCAGTATTTCAAATAAAACCCAAGACCTAGTATAGAAAAGGAAAGTTCTACCAATGAGCTAGCTAATCCCTGATCTTCAATTTCTAAATTAAGTGTAAAACATACTTCTTTAAATAACATTTATTTAAAACAAGTAAGAACCTCTCTCTAAATCAATAATACAGCTAATTATATGAAGCTAGTATTTGAGCCATTATGTGCTCTAATATATAGCTATCAATGGTTACCACAGCTTTTCATTCTACCTTCAGAAGCAACCCATTGACCAGTGCCTAAATTTATGTCCATTAGATTTCTTCATACTTAACTCAGAATGTTGTAATTTTAATAAGTACTAAAATGTATTGATATTCATATATTACTAAGGTGAGTCAAGAAATACAAAATATTTTTAAAGCTCCATGCACAAAAACAGGGGTACAATACCTTAGGGGGATTAAATGGATATGTTTCTGGTATTTTTATCTCTAGTTGATATCTTCCACCTAAAAACACCAAAAAACAAAAACAGGGAAAAAACAAATTTGAGAATGCTGATCAACTCAAATATGCAAAACCAAATACACTGAAAAGACTTTCAAAATATGTATTATTTATACTGAGAAAATTAAAATCCCAAAATAAAATAAGAGTCATGATTTTATAAGAATACTTAGAGTATATAAAATTCCCACTGTTATTATACTAATTAACAGTAACAGAACTAGAGAAACATTAACTCTACAGACAAACCAATGTCAAATATTTCATTAATTAGTAGCATAAGGTTCAGAGGTCTTGTTTTATCCAGTCCACCTAATAAAAGACAGTAACAGGAAATAGAAGATTAAAAGAAAAAAAAAAAAAAAAAAAAGCAAGGATTTAAAGGATAGACAGTATAAAGACAAAGAACAGATACGTCGTAAACAACAGGAAAACTCTCTTAGCTAGTTCTCTCCGAAGTCTTGATCTTTCCATTTATGTCCTTAATCAGGGCATGGTGTCAAATACCTATAACCCCAGCACTTGGATATTATAGAAAGAGAACCACAAGGAGTTGTAGAACTAATTCTAGTTGGTCTTAATATAAAAACCAAGAGACAGATATTGGGGTTAAAGCTGAAGATCAGAGAAGCAAAGTGACCAGCCACTAGAGAGTTCTCACCTCTACCAAAGCTCTGTTTCTCTTTTAGACTGGATCAATTTCATGTAGCTCAGGGAGGCCTTGAATTAACTAACAAAGATCTGTCTCCTGAGTGATGGGACTAAAGGTGTGTGCCACCACTGCCTGGTTTCTGTGGCTAACTAGTGTGGATGCTGAGATTAAAGGTGTGTGCCAACCACTGCCTGGCCTCTATGGATAACTAGTGTGGCTAGCTTTGCACTCAGATCTTCAAAAGCTTTGTTAGATTATAAACAAAATATCACCACAGGGAGCTGGTGGTGTACTCCTTTAATCCCAGCCCTCTTGAGGCACAGGCAGGGGGATCTCTGTAATTTGAAGTCACTCTGATCTACAGAGTGAGTACCAGGACAGCCAAAGTTACACAGAGAAACTTGGGGGGAGAGGGGGGAACGGACCCGTAACCCAAGGCCAACCATGGCTTCATAGAAAGTTCAAGACTAGCTTGGGGATACATAAGACCTGTCTTGAGCAAAACTAAAAGAATCAACTTGTGTCCCTAAATTTAATGTCAACATTTTGTTTAAAATTTCAAAATAAAGGCAAAGAACAAAACAAGAAACATAGGACATAACACTATCCTCTTCCAAGAATTTACAAAGTACTGTCAATAATTTATATAAACAGAAAACAACATTCTGTTGCTTCTGAAGTTATCTTGAACAACCACAAGTTAAACAGACATTTTTTTAAAGTTCTTTAAAGAAAGAAAAATGTAACTAGGTTCTCACAAATGAAGTATTCAAAGTGAACCATGACTATATGTTCCTCATCTCTGAAGGAGAAAGTCTTGCAATAATGAAACTGAATAGGAAGATTCTAGGTGTGGCGAGAGCACATTGCTACAATGCTAGTCTAGTACATGGTATAGGGAGGCTAGAAGGTCTCCTGACTCAAAACCCTGCTGACCTACTGAGTGGAGCATTCAAGGCTAGCTAGCCTAAACACACCTCCCCCAACCCACAAAATTCTACCTCTAATGAACCTCCCAGTTCAAGATTTCATGATCCACTAACATAAAAGATTCACTATTTAAAAACAGGAAATAAAATTTGGCTCCTGAAATAAACATTAAACTAAGTAGTTTTTCTACTAATAATCAAGGAATGAACCAGTTTAAGAACAAAGCTAGTCATAATGAGTTAGTTACTTAAGTTAGAGATTTCATTACAATATTATTCCTTCATATGCATGTGAAAATTAATACAATAAGTGTGCTAGTGGCATTACTATGATTAAACATTCAGCTCTTGAGAAATTCAAGTAGTGAATTGTTGTCAGTATATCAGGGGTCCTATCAAATCTACCTTTTCCCACTGTTATGAATGTATGCACATGAATCTAACAAAAAAAAAAAAGAGCATTTCACCAATACCAGGTTCTTAAAGCAACACCCACCTCCCCTCCTATGAAAATCCCAAACTTTAAGGCTAACCTAGCCTTAAACTTGAAATTCTCCTGCCTCAGCTTTGCAAGTGCTGGGATAACAGAAATGCAACATCATGCTCAATCTTCAAAAGCTTTCTGATCCCAACTCTTTTTGTCTTACAATTCTTTTTGGTAGAGTCCCCTCTATTTAAATTACATACGAATTAAACAAGAAATATGAATCAAGAACATATGGTAAAAATTAAATATAAAGAAAAGCAATCACAACAAAAGAAACAAGAGAAGGGTACTGAAAAGAACCCTGTAAATATGGAAATGACCATTTATATTAAGAATATAAATAACAATTGCAAAAACAGGAACAATACACTTAGCTTGAATACTATGTAGACTCATCTTTTTTCTTTTTCAACATTTACTAAAAGGGAGAATAAAACGACACGAGGAAATGGCTGCAACACACACACACACACAGAGAGAGAGAGAGAGAGAGAGAGAGAGAGAGAGAGAGAGAGTCTTGTGCCTACACAGGTCCTTCTTTTCCCTGAAGATTCTCTTTTTCTGACTAAATTTCCAAGTGTCATCTTTATTATCTGTCACAAAGCTCTTCCTTCTTAAATGCTTAGAATGATTTTTAGGAGTAGTTTAAGAGATCAGAAATATTATAATAAATACTGTTAGATTGTGAAGTTCTCAAACTATTATTGCTACTCCATGTTAACATTGTTTGGTCATGACATACAATAATTTCCACTTGACAAGGCATGTGAGAAGTGCATCATTAAGTGATCTCACCTGTCAAATATAATAGCCTGTTAAAGCAGCTAACTGTTGCTGGGTACTACAATCTCAAGGGCCCACAGTCACACAAGTAAGCTCCATCACTGAATATCTAAGGGACTTTTATTAGCATTATACACAACAACTTTCAATATAATTTATTTTACCTCTTAAGGATTTAATTTTTATTCTATTTATGTTTTACACTGCTTTATTTTAGAGAACAGGTCTTGCTATATGTTACCTACTCTAACCTTGAACTCTTAGGCTCAAGCAACTCTTCCTCCCATCCTCCTAAATAGCTAACTACAGACATACCACTGCACACAACTTTAAGAATACTTTCCAATTATTAAACATTTAGAAACTTTTTCTTTTCTCCTGTGAGGTTTAAACACATCTTCTGTAGACTAGTAATATCTAGGACTCAAGTATCCTAGGGTGGCCCTGAATTCAGAGCAATCCTCAGCCATCCAAAAGCTAGGGATACAAGCCTTGGCCCACTATGTCCAGAGAAACAATTGTGAACTTTAACTTCCTTCAAAGAGAAGAAAGGAAGTGGATGAGAATTTCTGAACTGCCCATTTAAATTCAACAAATTTGAAAGGACGTTTACACAAAAAGAACTAAATTAGTTCTTTACCACTAAGTTGTTTATTTAAAGGAAGTTAAGAAAACGGAGTAAATGAAATGCAATATGGTAATTTTCCGTGTTAATTCTCCTTGACAATCTGGTTATTTTTAATACTGCATAAAACTGCCTTTTAATGATATTACAGACGAATAGTTTACAAGTAAACTTTTACTTTAGCTTGAAGTTAGACAAAAACAAAAGCAGGCTGAGGAGATACAGCCCTGGACATGGCCCTGAATTCTATTCGCAGAATGCCTATCTCAGCTCAAAAAAAAAAAAAAAAAAACCACAGCAAACAAACCACAAATACCCCATACCCTCAAAAACAAAACAATCTTTCACCTGTGTTTATAAATTAAGAAGGAAAAGTTTATGACTTGAATGGTACTTTTTCTTTAAATATTGCTATAATAGTTTTATGATAAAAAGATCTTAAAATAATTTACTGTCCAAGCACATGCCCCCAATCATAGGGAAACTAATAAAAATATTCTCTAATTTTGAAGCACCTGCAGAAATACTTAAATAACTTGTTTCATTTACTCATGAAACATGGGTCGCTAAAAAGGTAGCAAACATTCTATCCACTGAGCTTAAGAGGTCCCTGTGTATTCTAAGTTTGCTGGAGAGCTCTAGAATAGAAATACTATTTCTTGCATTTTAAAGCTATCTAAACAATTTCAAAAAGCACTTCAGGAAGAATTATGAGGTTAGGGATGTAGCTCAATTTACAGCTGCTTGGGAAGATGCATAAGGCCTTGAATTTGATCCTTAGTACCACAAAAAAAATAGTGAAACAAAAACATTATTATGATACCTGCCATTAAAGAAGCTAGGAGATCTAAACAATATTTGCTACTAAGACATTTGATTTTTATAAATACAATTTTAAAATCTTCTAATATCAAAAGAACTAAATCATTCAGGTGTGGTAGCATACACCTTTAATCCCAACAGTTGGGAGACAAAGGCAGGCAGATCTCTGTGAGTTCAAGCCCAGCCTGGCTGACATAATGATTTCCAGGACAGCCAGAGCTACATAGTGAGACCATGTGGGGGGGGGGGGGGCTGGGAGGCTGAGGGGTTGGAGGTACTAGTAGATATGGAATATTCAGCAATATAAAATTTTTTTGCACTTCAAAATTGGTGCCCAGGCATAACAGCTGTGTCTATAAACCCAGCAGCTAGAAAATAGAAGCAGGAGAAGCAGGAGCTCAGAACCAGCCTCAACCAAAGCTGACAGTCTGAGGACAGCTTAGATCACGAAGAACTTTTCTCAACAAATCAGACAGGAGCAGGACGAGAGTTGGTGGTGAGAGACATGAAACCCAGGCTATAATCCTAACACTTACCAAAGTGAAACAAGAGGACTGCTGAGAGTTTGAGGCTAGCTCAAGCTACAAAGAAAAGCCCTGCTTCAAAAATCAAGAAAGAATTTATAGTGATACTCTAACGACAGCCTAGGATCTTTTAAGGGCTCGAATGAAAACAAGCTTTGCCAAGAATATTGGGTTTTTCTGAACTGAGAGCACTACATTTAAAGAAGCCATAAACACCCTTACTAATACTTGATGAATCCTGATTTAATCAAAAGCAGAAAGCTATTTAAAAGCATAGGCTTTGAAGTCAAAGGCAAGCTAAATCCCGCCTGTTCCACTTAAGATGTTTGACCTTAAGACAAATGACTTATCTCTAAATTCAAATTTGTCTATTAAACAGGATTGTACTTACCTTGTAAGAGTAGTTGAAAACTGAATACAAGGAAGAGCTACCACATAAGGCCATATACTTTCTATTATATAAACACTTAAACAGTTATTAATGCAATATGCAAAAGCCATGGTTATCCTACATGACCCAAATTTGCAATAATACTCAGTAATGAAGATTTGTCTAAAAACTCCAAATACTACAGTTTCTTCCTTTATCATATACTTAATTCCAAGTAAAGAGCTAAAAGTCAAAATATGAACATGGAAAGTAGCAAAGCTATTTTCTTTTTTTGTATGTTTTAAAATAATCACTCAGAGTGGTTTTAAATAAAGAAAATTAAGTATCTAAAAATCTACATAATTAAGTAACCAACTGAAACATGAAATGATAGGAAGGGGAAGCTTTAAAAACAAAACCATTATCTTATTAGTCAAACTGTTTTGGTTTTTCTTTTTTAGTCAAACTGTTAAGATTTGTTACTAATCATATCAAAGGTATCTGAGTGTATCTAAGTTCAAGGCTTAACATTTTATATTTATATTTAAGCCTGTTATGCTATAAAATGTATGGCTACTTTAAACAACAGAATTGAGAACAAGATAAAGAAAGAAGCCTACATAACCTGTAACCTGGCTCTATGAAATGTATTTGAAAAAAATTTTTTTTAATTAGCAAAAACTCAGTATGAAAAATCAGCTAAGTGTCAAAATTGACCATTTTATATACTGTAGTATACCCTAAGCCAAATAAGATTACCTTCCATGAATTTTATAGATAGATGCTCAAGATTACTGACTCAATCTTTCAGACAAGTTCTAATACGCACAATATTTTGATACAGAAAAAAGTACTTGCCTTCATATGGTGTGTCTGGAGGTCCTGCTATTTCTCCTCTTAATTCTGTAAAATTCTCATCTACAAGATCTACTTTAATTTGATTTTTGCTCGTCTTAAAAATAAACAGAAAATAAATGTTAGTTATAGCAACAAGACGAAAGCCTACTTTAGACTATTACCTATTAAAAAATTAAAAACCCATTTTCATGTTTGATTATCTACTTTAGTAAAACAAGTCCAAGTTTTTCTAAAACCTAAGAAATATTAAATAAACATATCTTCAATATTTTTAATAAAATAGTGCCAATTTGAACAAGAGCACAATTGCTTGCTGACCTTATTACAAATTATATAACTGGCCAATACAGCACATGCTATTCATCTTCACTTGATTGCTAAGATAAACTGTCTCTACACTGTCTCTGCTCAATCATAACAAAATGTATGGTTTAGTAAAACCCATTTAGGCCATAAACTCTCACTTGAATTAATCATAGTAACTCTAGATATTTGATTAACTGACTAAATTACTACACCACCCAGCACAATGATAAATACTCTAGGCATAGCATTCCTTTCCATGGTAAAAAGCCTAAATTTGTTACTAGTGCCTTCAATTAGTTACTAGTGCTTCAATTTATTTTTCTGGTTCATTCTAATGCCTTATTTTCTGCTCCATTTACTTCAATGAAAACTACCTTCTGATTAAAACAAACCTACTTTAAACTTATCTAAATCTACTTATTTTGTACTTAATGCTTCTCAAAGTATTTTTCTTAACCTTGTGACAGCCCATCCTCAAGAGCCATGGTAATCTTAAATAATTCATAAAAACACCCAATGTGATTCACATTAGCATTCTCTTTTAAAGGTTCTACCTGCCTGTAAATGAGCTCTCTCCATCTTATGCTTTTCTTGTTATTTTACTAGTCTACATACTAAACACTTATAATTTACCAGTTTTCTCAATTTAAAGATAAAACAAAATGTACAAGGTTTTTAAATTTGAATTCCATATTTTTACATAACATGCCTATATTTATGAAAGAAAGCTTAATAAAAAAAATTTAATAGTAAATTTGTTGGTTTTTATGAGCACCTTCTGAATGGACAGAACAGCAAGAATGACTATTGTTTAAGGTCTTTAACGTCTTATTTTCACCTCAAATAAAAACCATCAATCAACTTTACTTTTTTGTATAATAAATATTTTTAATATAGAAACAGTATATAACTCGTAATGCAAGTTTTCATCACTCATATTTGAATAAAAGCACAGGATGGAAAACATGACTTTTATGCATTCTAAAAGCATCCAAATGGTTCCTTTCATCACCTTTTTTCTGAGATGACAGTATCTCATTTTTTTCAAAATACTTTTGTTCAAAAGATTATTAATGATAAATACACACAAGAAGCTAGGAAATTTTGTTTATGTGCCACCATGCACATGTGGTATTGAGGATCAAAGCAAGGCTTTGCACATACGAGGTTAAGCACTCTACCTAGCTGAGATACATTACCAGCCCATAAATAATATATTTGTTGTTATGACTATGAGTGTTATGCGTATATAAATGCCTGTGCACCACTTGCTTGTCTGGTGCTCATGGAGGTCAAGGAGCCATTGGAGCCAGGTGGTGGTGGCGCACACCTTTAATTCCAGTACTCCGGAGTTAGACAGGCAGATCTCTGAGAGTTCATGGCCAGCCTGGTCAACAGAGTGAGTTCTGAGACAGCCAAGGCTACTCAGAGAAACCCTGTCTTGGTAAGGGTGGGGAGGGGGATATGAGGCCATTAGATCCCCTGGAACTGGAGTTACAATGTGAGACATCATGTACGTGCTAGGAATTGAAACTAGGTCCTCTGGAAAAGTAGTAAGTGCTTTTAACTACTAAGCTATGTATCTGGCCCAATTATTATATTTTTAAAAAGTAAAATATTTCAAGTATACCTTACTTGCACTTATTCTAAAATGATAATATAGACATGGTAGCGCATGTCTATAATCTTAAGTGTTAAAAACACAGAAGTATAAGGATCACTTCAAGTTCAGGGGTAGCCTAGTCTAGCTACACATGAAGTTCCAATCCAGAGGAACTTCATAGACAGATCGTATTAAAAGAGGGTTGGGATATGCTGCTACAGAGATAGATAACTCAGTGGTTAAGAACACAGTTCCCAGCATCCACAGGGTGTCTCTCTACTCTTAACTCCAGTTCCAAGAGACAACACTACCAGCCATGCAGGTGGTTCACAAACATACCTGCAGGCAAAGCACTCATACACATAAAATATAAACAAGATGTGATGGTGCTTGCCTTGAATCCCAGCACATGGGAAATAGGCAGGCAGATCTCTGAGTTCAAGTTCCAGATCAGCCAGAGGTACACAGAGAAACCCTCCCTCAAATAATAAAATAAAAGGATGGAAGAAGGGAGAGACAGAGACAACTATATAGGCATGATAGAAAGAACACAGGTCTATGAATGAAGCTGAGTGAGAATTCTGAGGGCTTGTAAGAAAGACTCTGTTCCTCTAATACACAAATTAGAATGTGCCTTTGTGCCCCTCCTAGGTGTAGTAAATAAGAATGGATTTACTTCAGATTACCCATAAAGTTACTATTATTATTCAGATGATGTTTCCAAGCAGGGGCTGTCTTAGTGACCTCATACAGATTGAACTAAAGCGAACTCTGCTCACATGACCTTGCTTAACCCTACAAATACATTCAGAATATAAACTGTCTGGTGTCCTGAATAAAGTTGGCTATTGCATGAAACTTTAGTCTACCCAAGGTTCACTCCACCAACTAGAGCAGTAACACTCTTCCACTGAGTTGCATCCCTCCAGCACTGGTATAAAGAATTTATTCATTTAAACTGGGCATTAGTAACAAATGCCTTTAATCCCAGCACTTGGAGGCAGAAGCTGATCTATAAAGGAAGCAAGGGCTGTTACACAGAGAAACTCTGTCTTGAAGAACCAAACAAAATAAAATAAAGAAATTATTATTTTAAGTCAGGCATGGTAGTTCAAATTTATAATCCAAAGCACTTGGGAAGCTGACAGAAGAGTGTTCTAGTGAACTCGAGACCACACTGAGCTAGACAGTGAATTCTATGCCAGTCTCAGCTGTATAATGAGAATCTGTCTGAGAGGAAGAGAAAGTACACCAGCAAACTGAGGGAAGAAAAGAATTTGATTCTCCACAGTTGTTTGAAATGAAGGATTTTTAAAGCTTAGGAGCTACCATTTGTTAAGTTCTCAGTACCCATGGCTTCTCCCAACAAGTCTCACCCTGTCCCCTACCCTAAACCTCTTCCTCCCAGGAGCTGGGTTTCACTTCGTCTCCCAGACCCTCTCTTCGCTATATAACTGAGATATTTTGGCTGTGTGCCCTTTTGTTTCTTGACTCCTGGCTGCCTCTGCTCCTGGATCTCTTGGTCTGCTTGCCCTTCCTTCTCTTCCTCTCTCACCAACCCCTTTCATCTGCTGGTTCAATCTGCTTATCATGTTCAGTCCGAACCCTTCCAGATCCATCATATCTACAATAAACCCTCTCTCCTCAACCGAACCTTGGAGCAGACATGTCCTCCTTTTTTCATTCATTATTTTCTCAAAATTTAATAAACAATTCCACAGCCCACATTGTTTACCTCTCACTTATTACTAAATGATTTAGGAATAAGCCAAGAATTTGGAATAAGCCAATAACTTTTTTGTTTGTTTTGGGTTTTGGTGATGTGGATCAAGCCCACAGTGTTATGGACATGGTAACAGAATTTCTATCCATTACATCTATAGTCCCTAAACAGACTATTTTATTCTGAAACATGTAATGTCCCCAAAGAAAAGTTGACATGAAAACTAAGGGAGTAAGACATAATAGGAAAGTGAGGACAGGCAAGCACATTATTAAGAACAAGTTGTGCCGGGCAGTGGTGGCACATAAGAGGCAGGCAGACCTCTGTGAAGTCAGCCTGGTCTACAAAGAGAGTTCCAGGACAGCCAGGGCTTGTTACACAGAGAAACCCTGTCTCGAAAAACCATAGATAGATAGATAGATAGATAGATAGACAGACAGACAGACAGACAGACAGACAAAAGAGACTGGCAACATGGCTCAGAGATTTAAGACACTTGGTGATTTTGCAGGTGACCCAGGTTTGGTTCCCAACACCCACAGGGTGGTTGTTGTAACTCCAGTTCCAGAGGATTGGTGCATATACATCCATGCAGGCAAAGACTCCTACTTTTTTTTTTTTTTTTTTTTTTTTTTTTTCTTCTTCTTTTCAAGATAGGGTTTCTCTGTAGCTTTGGAGCCTGTCCTGGAACTAGCTCTTGTAGACCAGGCTGGTCTCGAACTCACAAAGATCCGCCTGCCTCTACCTTACTGCTGGAACTAAGGCGTGAGCCACCACCACATAAATATTTAAAAAAAAAAAAAAAAAATTTAAAACGCAAAAGCAAGTACTATGGTGAAATATACCAACATTAAAAAATTTACTGCCCCATTTAACCCAGCATTCCCATTCCTACAGAACAGCTAGAATATCATTCGTTGCAAGTATTTTTAAGCTGTAATAATTATGCAAATCACAGCAGAAAGAGTAACATCGAACAGACAATAATACTGTGGAATAATCTCTTTGTAATCTATGAAGATTTGTCACTGTGACTGGTTTAAAAAATAAGATGACTGACCAACAGCTGAACAGAAGGTTAGGTAGGAGAGCCAAGCTGGGAATGCTGGGAAGCAAATGGGCAGAATAAGGAGACACTAGCCAGATGGAGAATGGCTCAGACACACAAAATGGGATAGAGGTAAAGGCCACCAGCCTCTGGGCAGAACACAGATTAATAGAAATGGGTTAAGTTGTAGGAGTTCCAGGACAGCCTCCAAACACAGAGAAACCCTGTCTTGAAAAACAAACCAACAAAAAGTTGTAGGAGCTATTGGCGGAGAGTTTATTAAGTAATAATAAGTCTTCATGTATTTATTTGTTGAGTTGCTAGCAAAACAGAAACTTCCGATTATACAATAATCTAAAAATCCAACAACTGAAGGTTAGCTTCAAGGATCATCATATACAAAGGAATAAACCA